TTATCGAACTCTACGAAAAACTGTGTAACTTGATAAAAATTCTTAGTTTTACTGTGGACTTGTTGACTTCATGCATGTCTCGAGACTAAAGACCAAAGAAAATCAAACGAGAACTACGAGAGTTACTAAATCAAAGTATCTGTTTTAAAGGGTACGACTGTAGATTGTCATCTTTGTTTCAGCCACATCCAGACCCATCCTATTCTATTGAATCGAATTCGAAAGGCAAAGCTGAACGTACTTTGTGATAAACAACGAATACTTGGTGATATCAATCTACCCGACATAGCCATTAATGAGATATATGAGTTCGAGCTAGGAGAAGATCCGGATATGGTTTGTCAATAATCTAAAATCTTATTCTCGATACGTGTACCAAATCGATTTACATCTAACAAATCTCAAAAAACGTTAAATCAATATTGATTAGAAATACAAAATTCGCGGTTATAATCAAATGCAGTTACTCTCGTCTCAATCATTAACAATTGATAAAAACAGATCGACATCACTGTTTGCACTAGAAAGATCTATAGATCGAAGCAATCAGATAAACTTGGCCATAACTTCTGAAAAAACAATATTTTAGTATTTAACGTTATCATATATGCATTGCAAATAGAATGTTAACTAATACATCATAGTTTTGTGTTTTAAGCAAGATATATTTTTGGCTCTAATTTATATAAATACAAAAGTCACATTCCTCGTATCAGTCTCTCATCATCGATAGGCCTTTGATATGATTTTAGCTTCTTAGACTCAAATTTAGGAAAAAAGAGATGCCATTGACTCAGTATATTAAAATGTCATGCATAAAGTTTTAGATCATCGCACACGAAAAAGAGTGTGAAAAAAAACGTAAGTATTGAAATGGTTAACCTTCTCTAATCTTCGTCTCCGATATTTGTATTTTTAAAATTTAATTAAATAATTTAAAAAAATATCTCTATATAATTAGTTTTGAAAATAATGTGCTGTTTTAAAGTAATTTTAGGGAAAAAATCAAAATACATGCTTGTCGACAATAATTTTTTTATGGATTCAATAGAGTGAAACAGTAATACAAGGTATTCCTAAAAAAATAATCAGTTAATATCTGCATAGTTCTTTAATTTAACTTATACCGACAATGGATGAAATAAGACATTATCTATATTTAACTATAAGTCTCTTTTTACTATTTGTAGATCTGCTATGGAAGTCGTCGGTGTAAGTGTGAACATGACTGAACAGATGATCGACACTTACACCATAATCGTAATTTGAAATTTTCAACTGTAAAGAGTTGTCTATGTTTTTTCTGGTGAATATGACCTATCGACGCGTTGTTTTCATTGATAATAACTCAACCCATTCGATGAAAATATAGCAGAGATATTCAGACTTTTACGCTACACTGTCTATATCTCTGATTATTTCTGTCACGTCTCATATAATTTGATGATGTCTTGTTGATGACCATATCTTATCTTCAATCGCATGTGAGATAAGATAGAGATTTATATATGCAATGCTTGTTTTCCAAAATAATGATGAATGTGCTGAGTCCTATTTACGTTTTTTTCTTCTCCTTTTAAAAAGTGTACTAATGAAATAAATTGCCTGTCACTCTCTTTCATATCCTGGACAGACATACTTATTTGTCTTTTATCTGGAAGTGTTGAAGTAGCCGTTATGCCAACGTTACAACTTTACTTGTTGTTTCCATACTTGATATTGAAAGAGGTATCCAAACAGACACTCTCCATGGAACGATAAAGAATAGAAAACATGGTCGTATGGGATGGAATACTTTTACAAATCTCTCAGTGTATCATGTTCCATGAAACATCAGATTTGTCGAAAGGTTTTTGAAAAAGAAAGAAAGTTTCATCATAATTTTTCTGTAGCATTTGATTATTTTTTTAACTAATATCATAATAAAGAAAATTTCGATGAGAGCTGCTCATTATAATATGTGACGATACAATTAGATCATATTGTCTTTCATGTATATGCATCTTTTGCTCAGCTCTTTGTGAACATTGGTGTTCTCTTCTCTAACACTCACATATCACATACTGCTCCAGTGAATAACTGTTTACAAAATAGAACAAAACTTTGTTTTTTTCTAACTCAATTGCAGCAGACAAGAACATAATTTATGCGACAAAAACATGTTTACATAATTAGCTATTTATCTTATCAGACGAATGCGATGCGACTGGATAAAAATATTTCGATCAACATCTAATTGAATGCGAGCAAGGCAGGCATTGCCCATCTTAAACGAAGGTCTGATGAGTATAAATATTATTCGCATGCAATAGACATACATATATACAACTGCATATATTTATATCAAGACTGTTGTACCACTGCTAACAGAAGTAAGTCTAAGACATTAATCTTTTTTAAATAAATGAAAAAACAATCTGCAAAAGAGACTAGTCCAGTGCAGTACTTCAATATCAATATTTATCAGTACCTTCGATACTTACTAGAAATTTATGAAATTCACACTGTTTGGAAGTCGATTTTGAGTTTGATTTCTATATGTTACATTGTCAAGTACCAAAATTAAATTCTTTGATAAATATAACTATGCTGAAAACACTATTTCAATGAGAGATTAGAAATTTTTCCAATAATAGAAGATTTTTTTTTCTCTGTTAATAATCCAATAATCCTCTAGGATAAAAAATGTTACAGATTAGAAGATTTTTAAACTAATTTCTGAAGCTTATTTTTGTTTTCTTTTTGAGTTTAACAACTGATGGGATAAAATTAATTTAAAAAAATATTTCTGTATTGACATTATTTCGAGAATATAGGTAAAAATATGACTTGGAAGGATGATCAAAAATCACTTTTCTTTTTCTTATTGAAAACGCTTTCCAATGACTAGAATGGCTTGATGAGTTCAGATAAGGAATCCAAGTCCAAACTCTGTCTTTAGACTTGTTACATCTCTGCTGCTGACACTTATGACCGACTAAGGATGGCGATTTTCTATTTATCTACTTAAAATTTACATGTATGTACATTAACTCATATTATAGTTAAATTCGATCAAATGAATTTTAATGGAAATGTATTTAATTAATGTTGAATCTATATTGATTTAGCCTATATTTAAATAAATTTCTTAAAACTTGGGGTTTATTGAATTTTCATGAATGTTCGTTGACTACAACTTATTTCTAAGAGTCAATCGAAGAGAACCATTTACAGGTCACAAATTTTAAGTGAATTTTCAACGGATATTATGATTTTCGTTATTACTAGACAATATTTATAAAATACTAAATATTTCTAACTAGAATAAGTAACATCAATTTTATTCTTTAGCATTCCTATGTAGTATTGTAATAATTATATGCTCCTGGTAACATTTGCATACATTAATATAAGCATATAAATGCATCCACTTTCATCAACTTTCTATTAAGAGTAAAATTGAGAATTCCAAAAATTACATAATATAATGTAAGTTCAACAACTAAGATATTTTACTTGATATAAATGTGTAGTTTATTAAAAAAAACTTCATTTGAAGGCTAGAAAATTTCTATCCATATTTTAAACTATCTCATAATACTACTTAGGTCATTCCAAAAGTAGTGACGAAGATGTATCAATTTCTTATAGAAAGCTCTGAGAAACTTTTCTTCTATACAGTCTGATAGAGAGAAGAAAGCTCTATTTTTCTATGCTATTTGATCATACTTTAACTAATATCATGATAATACATTTTTGATAAGACTTTTTTCGTTAACATGTTTGCTGGTTGTAAGTTGTACGATGCAGTTTTCAATTTCCTATTAGTTGTATTAACAACCAAAATATGCCATAAGATACAGCGTGAAAAGCTCTACAATTTCCATAAGACCACTTATTTTCTAGTTGCACATTTTGTTCTTAAAATAGACTAAATTTTGAGCGATCAAATTTCGACCATGGAAAAAGATAATGTTTTTGATACACGACGAATTCATTTTTTGTTATCTCATCATTTTATCACCTGATATGCTTTATCAAAAGAAAAACAAAATACACCAGCAGATGCAGCGTGAAAAGCTCTCCAATCTACATAGTAAAGTTTATTGTATTTGTTTTGAAAAAAAGGAAAATTTTATACGATCAGTTTTTACAACGGCCACAGTTCGATCACTCAAAACTTTGTGCATTTTGAAAATAAAAAGTGCAACTGGAAAATAAGTGGTCTTATGGAAATTGTAGAGCTTTTCACGCTGTATCTTATGGCATATTTTGGTTGTTAATACAATGTATTAGTGGACTAAAAGACTAACCAGTCTGACTCATTATAAGCTAGTACAACGAGCAAACATGTTAACGAAAAAAGTCTTATCAAAAATTTATTATCATGATATTAGTTAAAGTATGATCAAATAGCATAGAAAAATAGAGCTTTCTTTTCTCTATCAGACTGTATAGAAAAAAAGTTTCTCAGACCTTTCTATAAGAGATTGATATATCTCCGCCACTACTTTTGGAATGACCTAAGTAGATGGATGTTATTTCAGGATTTCCATTGCATACTTATCAAATATCATGATATTCTTGTTTTTTTATTTGTGCATATTCATAGATCGATTTAGTTTAGGTTTCAGTCGACTTTAGCTGTCAATACAATGATTAGATTCAGAGTCATCTGCTTGTTGCTTTTGGTTTGCAAAACTGCAGTTCTTGCTCTTAGAGCGAATTCTGATGTTGCAACTATGAAAGAAGACCAAACCAATAATGTTGAATATAAATCGAATTTCAAAAACAAACGAAGTTTAAGTAGTATCACGGTCAATACCTATGTGCTGACAACGTTTGCTTATAAGGAGACTCAAATTTCTGTCTACAGTGCTCAATCAAATGAAAATGAAAATCCTGACACACCTCAGAAATGGGCCTTTTACTTTACACCAATTATGATGCCAGTAATCACAGATAATGTAACAGACAAATGGATATTCACAACCAAGAATGAAATTAGAATCAATTTCATGTTAAGTAATGATGATGTTAAAGAATTCGCAAGAAATGCAATCATCAAGAAATACAATTTAACTATTGCTGAATATTCAAAGGGCTGGGATATTGCTCCATTGACGATTAACTCATTGTCAACTTATATCATTGGAGGAACTAATGTGCCAGTTGCAGGTGTCATTCCTTATACAACTATCAATCCAAATCAGTTGACCATACAATTTCGATTAGATTGTTCTTCTGAAGAACGTGCAAAAGAAATTGTAGAAAAGGTTATTGATGATACTTATGAAATCAAAGTAGCTTCTCATTATTCCGATTTCAGAGAAGTTGCAACGAATCTGACGCTGATTACCGGTGGTCAAGTGAAGAGTGTGAATAGTAAAACGATTAGTGATGGTGGCAATAGAAATGCTAAATATATACATCGTAGTCAAGGATTAGCATTTGTAAATAAATACGTAACCAATGTAAAGAAGATGATTTATACGGATGATTCAAAATTAAACTTGCCATCATTAACAGGTGATCTCGAAGATCGATATGCTGCATTGCTACAACAAGGTAGACATTTTTGTACTACATTTATGACTGAATATCGTCTTATTTTTATTTCTAATTATAGCAATGACTTCTGCGAATGAAACAAAACTTGATATTAAATTCTACGATGAAGTTTGGTCAGCAACAAATTTCAATCCTGATCGAATCACTAATGAAATGAAGAAATGGTTCACCTATAATGAAGCTGAAACAAAGAAACAAAATTCTATAGATAAATATTTTACTTTTAATCGAGCATCTATAAATTTATCGTCCAGTTCAGGAATAGCTAATACCTGTTATCCTCCTTTTTGTACTGGTATACAGACTGGATTATCAGATTCATTATCGGAATATCTTTCAAAAACAACACAATCAATATTTTCATTAACAGAAATACAAAATTTATTCAAAAAAATATCAATAGATATTGCATGGACGAATGATAAGTTCAATCTGAAGTCTTTCTCTGTTTACCGAATCAATGATATTACTGATATGCTACAAGTTGATATTTTCAATAAGCAATTAATTGTCGAAGAGAAAAGTGGTGCTACTATTCGTAGAGTAAATAGTAGAACTAGATCATTAATGATTTCAGATCGATACTCATGTCCACTCGTTGGTGAAATGAAACTGTACTTAGGCAAGTCATCATGTCTGCCATGTACTTGGATGTACTGTCATGGGCAAACTCTCTCTCGTGTCACTTATCATCTTTTGTTTTCTGTCATTGGTGAATCATTTGGAGCTGGAGATGGAAAAACAACATTCAATCTACCTGATTTTCGTCGTGGATTTCCAGGTATTTTCACTGATTACACTAGAATATGACTTTCGTATAATGAAACTCATTTTCGATTAATTGTAGGATCAATAGTTTCGACTGAAAGTAGCCAATCATTCAGCAATACGGCATCTAATCAAAACATTAATTTTATTATTTTTACCGGATACTGTGGCACTCAAGACAAGAGTCTCACACATACTAGTTCTTCCATTTCCAGTTACCGTGCTAACAGTAAGCATTTTTGATTTGTATGATCGAAAGCTATTCTATATGGCAGTTAAATACGTTAGCCAAACACTTGATTAAATCTTTCTCGAACATTCTTCGACTATTTCATTCATATTCACCATTTATTAAATGAAGCCTAAAATTCATAAATCTTATATTATCTTATACAGAACTCTGAAACAGTTAGCATCAATTCACTTAGTGTTTCAAACACTGAAGTTATCCCATTTCATGGATTCATGTGAAATATTTTCATGGTTTTTAGCTTTCGTATATATACAAATCTACTTAAGACTTTTCTAAGATTCTAAAAAAATTGTGCTTCAAATAACTTGATAAAAATTAGCAACATGTAATGGATTCTTCCTGCATACTGTATGTAGAAGTGCAAGAAATCCTTCGATAGATTTGCATTTATCATTTTGAATGTCGCACAATCAATATTTTTTTGGGAATCATCTGAAAAACATGGAAAAAATCATCTATGTCAAATTTTTCGTACTCCAAGCACAAGGATTTATTGCGCTCGTCACTTATTTTCTTAATATTCGACATCTTTTTCAAAAGAATCAGATAGAATGTTTTTAGTTCTTTAACTTAGAATGCTCATAGGGCTCATGAATTTATATTTTGAACACTTATTTAATTTTCCAATAAGTTGCTCGAAGTTTTTAGTTTGCTAGACATTTATGTGATAATGTTACTAAGACTCTTCATTTGAAAATATGACTGAAATCATCCGATGACTTTATCATTCTATCAGAAACTACCATTGAAATAGTTTCGATCTTCTCAGCATTTTAGAAGTTGAAGAGATAGTTTTGCTGGATATCAAATTTGTGTCGGCTGATGAATAGTGTTTCAGTACTACACAACTGAACTACAAATTCGCAGTCTGAATTCAGAAAAATTATAATAAAAAGTTGTTTTTGTCTTTTAGAAGAATTGGCGATTGTTGACACTGCGTCTGTTGTCAATGTTACGAGATTTAAAGTTCAATTACCATCTAATACGACACCTCAACTGACAGTCAAATATTCAGTGAGAACAAGTATGTTACATTCAACACTTAGAAAATCACTAGTTAAAATATTGCTTCGATTGGATATATCGTTCATTCACTGTCACAAGTAGAAGCCTCCTTACAGGATAGTGAATATCAAGTATCGTATTTGAAACCATGGCGTAGCCATTATACATAATTTGCATTGTAACGTTTCTAATCCGATATTATATATTGCCGAGTATCCAATAAATCAAACAGGTCCTTATAAATTGTTAAACATTTTACATTTCGAGCAATAATTCTTTCTCATATATTTAGTAACCTTTCAGAATGTTTCTATCAACTAATCTACTTGAAAAGCAACTTACATATCTCTAGTTTGACAATGGTGATCATTTTGAGATGATTATGTTTTATAAAACATACTAATTTCAGGAATTTCATTTCACAGTCATTTTTATGACTTCTTCAAATAAAAAAATCAATATAGAGAACAACATTGTTCTCAGGAGTTCTTGATATCTTTGACCAAGTCCTTTGTTTCTCAATGTGTACAAGTGTAGTATATACGTATGAAAATCGAGGACAATACAACTGCAAGAAACGAGTATTGTTCTTGTTCAAGAACAAATCGAAACTAATACTCACGGCTCTAAAGAATCAAATTCTCAAAAATTATAAACTCTTTTGTTTCCAAGACAAAAGCCTTGTTTTATCTTTGCTGGTATCAAACACAATGGTTTCTTCTTATTCTTTGTTTTAGTTCTTCCACCTACTGCAGCCACTGTGCGACGGGTAATACCTGAAGTGACTGTTGCGACGGTCAACCAACAACACAAAGTAGTCAACGAACAACACGAAGTAGTCAATGAGGATGATTCTTCTGAAGGTATACTCTATTGATAAGGATGTTATTCGTGTTTTTGTGATTTTTTATTGTCCCATTCAAACAGAGCTAAGGTCGTCAGCAACCTTGAAACTGTGCTTTAAAATATAGAAACAGACTCATTTATAAAATTTCGATCATGAACAGTTTCAAATTTTCAAGACAACAAAAGGATAATATGGTTGCGCGAATGTTTTATCAGTTTTGATTTTAAAAACGCTTTTAGAAAACAAATATATTCACACAGATTTCTGCCAATGTATGAATGGAACCAGATTGGCTTTTTTGCAGTATAGTTTTATTTATGTGTATATTGATTTAAAAAAGTTCCAGCTAGAAATATCCAACTTTTATTTCCTAAGTAAAACATAACCGACTATTATTTTCAAACTATTGTTAGAGAATGAGATTCCAAAAATTGTTGTCGTGAATATATATATATATAAATTGAATAAAATTTTCCAGGTGAATATGTTAAAGATTACTATCTTCAGTTGAAAACTACGGAATCATATTCAACACATATAAAGAATCAAAGTTTGGATTAGCGAAGCTATTATTTATGAAGTAAATGATAACAAAGAAAATAGACTTGCACATAAACATATGAATATTTTGACGACAGTAACGACAGAAGAAAAAATGAAAAGAGTATACAATCCAAGAAGAGTTATAGGCGATTGACTTTACCACATTTAACGTTTATATGCTCTCTTTTTATGTCTACACTTATACTTGTTCATTTCTCAACTCCATGAGATTTTCTAAACATTTTTGTACAAGAACTTTCCAGACAAAATGTTTTAAATTAGTTCTATAGAATGAGGTTTTTTGTTTCTTTGATTTAGTCGAATCTAAATACACATGTACAACCTTCATAAAATTGAAACAACGTTACACTTAATCACACAAACTGAAAGATTGAAAAACTTGAATTGTACAGAACTGAAAAAAGTGTTTCAGTGACAGTAGTTCTATCTAGTTCTTTTATACCGGGTGTTGCAAAAGTTTTGCGACATTTTTTATTTTGCATGTAACTCTGTTCAGAAACATGACCATAAATTGATCTTTTTCTCAAAAGATGCGCCATCAAATTCTCTACAAACTTCTATTCGTGTTAGTTTATAACAATAGAATTGAACTTCTTTTATAGGTCGCATACTATGATTATGTGAAATGAGCCTACTTCCCACACACTTTTTTCTGCTTTTCCAACAATCTTTTCGAAGTTATAAACAGGCACGTGAGACTTTCTATTTGTAATTTGAATGTATATCGAATGCTCTTTCAGAATTATTTGTAGGCGCTTGATCGCCATCTATGTTTGTCTAAAAACTATAATCTGTCTGAGCTACCATAACGAAAACAGTCTTCTTGATGCTATTCGGATCTTTCCTCCGGTTGAATTGGTTTTCGAGCGTTATCTGAACTCTACATAGAAAGAGAAATCAATTTCCTACAAAATACTGCAAGAATAAAAGCGATTCAGTCATAGATGACATTTCTAGAGTGCTTTCTTTGAAAAGAAAAGACAGACATGAAAATTGCGCTTTTTTCAAAAAATGGTCGTGCGTCAAACCAAAGAAATGAGCATTGAAAAACCTCGTATATATAAGCAATCGACAGAGGATTTCAAGAGCTATCTAGTGTTATATAATGTTCTAAGAATCAAATATTCACTTCTATAAAAAGAATAAATTACTGAAAAACGTGTGGGAAGTAGGCTCGTTTCACATAATCATAATATGCGACCTATAAAAGAAGTTCAATTCTATTGTTATAAACTAACACGAATAGAAGTTTGTAGAGAATTTGATGGCGCATCTTTTGAGAAAAAGATCAATTTATGGTCATGTTTCTGAATAGAGTTACATGCAAACCAAAAAATGTCGCAAAACTTTTGCAACACCCGGTATATACATAGGGTAGTCAAAAAGTTCTGCAAACAGCTGTCTAAAATTTCATCCTAATTGGTTTTATTCCTCATGTTAGCCTATTCTAATAGTGACATCTCTTATGTATTGAAATACCAATATGAAGTTTCACAACTGTCTATTATGGCAAATTTTCAACGAATTTTTTGAACACCCCTGTTTTCAGATGGAAAAACAGTACATACGCTCATATATAAACACTCGTTGGTTATTAGGTTTAACAGCTACACAAATTCATGATGAATTAACTACTGCTTATGGACAGGATGTAGTTTCATATTGTTCAGTTACTCGATGGATTCAACGATTTTCAAATGAACGAGAATCTTTGGAAGATAATCCTCGAAGTGGTCGTCCATTATCCGCCATCACTCAACAAAATATTGATGCAGTTAAAGATCTGGACCATTACTTATTCATGAATTACCTTCTGGAACATCAATTAATACTATTTATTATCGTGATGAATGTTTAAAAAAGCTAATCAAAAATTTATATAAGAAAAGACCATCATCAACAACAAATCACGTTAAGCTGCATCATAATAATGCACGACCCCATGTGAATGATATTGTTCTTAATTATCTTCAAGAAGAAAAAATCAAAGTTATGGCTTATCCGCCATACTCACCTGTCCTTGCTCCTTCAGATTTTTGGTTGTTCAGTTATCTGAAACGTAGCCTTGATACTTATCCAGATACTACAAGTTTAGCTAAAGCGTTATCCAAGGAGCTCAATTCAATACCTATTCACGAATACCAAAAGACATTTCAGAAATGGATTGAAAGGATGAAACTTTGTATTGAACATCATGAGGACTACTTCGAACATTTACTGTAAAAAGATTAGCAAAATATTTTGTCCATGAATAAATATTTGAAAGTTGCAGAACTTTTTGACTACCCTATGTATATACTTTTTTTTTTACCAGGATATTCTTTAATTGGCATAAGCTCAACTAAAAAAAAAACAAAACGAAGTTGATATTTTATATTATATTTAAATATGAATAAACATACTTGCATTAACACCAAGTTCTTTT